GCTCTACATGAAGCATTATTGAAATTTGTTCCTAACATCAACATAAATCCTCATCCATTATGGAATCGATTCATGCCATGGACGCATTTTTCCATCGTGTAAATTGAACAAGAATACCATAGTTAAAAACACGAAATATTTTGTTAGAAATCACGGATTTCGATAATTGTTCAAACTGGTGCCTTTGATACATACATGTTACGTTGCACGAGCAGCAAGCAGAGTACGTGCAATTCCGTATTTTGTCCCTCATGTTTTAGCTAAAGGAAAAAAAAAGACTCAGCATATGCATAGCAGGCTCGGCATACGTTTTTCAATTCAGAAAAAAAGGGGACCAGAATGAATAGGTGAATCGTAGAATTAATTTCAAGGTTGATTAAATTTGCTGGGTACCAGCCAGATATTCAGTGCATAAATATGGAATACAGTACTTATACTGTACGTCTAAAGATTCTCTTTCACCGATATATTTTTCCTCCTTTTTAAAGAATTTATTCTGAGAGTTACTCTTCATTATACATTTATCTCTTTACGACACCATCCCTTAGGGCCATCACACCACTAATTATATACTGCGCAATAAAATCTGTTGGCTACAGTCATGCTGTTGGCTACAGTTGTAGACTTCGTCTTTGGATATGACGAGCTCAGTAAGTTAGTTCGTAAAATTATGCGAACTGAAAATAGTTCACTTCTCAAGCTGCAACCTTCATATTATTTTATAATAACGAATGTATCAGCATTTGAATTACAGCATCTATTAATGAGGGTAGCGCAGCTCCTAGTAAAATGCTAACGGCCAAGAAAAACATCCGCCATTGCTTGGCATGTTAGTACAATACAGTACTTCATTTTACATAAATGATGCAAACAAAATTTCTGGCTCGAGGATTCTAACCAATGCCCGTTGGCGGGTTTCAGGTTTTAGGCTTTGGGCATCCATCTTTACTCCAAATAATATAAGTCTTCTTACTACATTTCTTCAAAAGTCTTGAAAACGGGAAAACCTGTAAAATTCCCAACGAGGACTGACGCAGTACTGTACTCCCCAAGTCCCCATATACGTATGTGGCACTTTAAATGTTAAATATGCGAAGCTTTTGGCAGTCCACGCGAAGGGCACAAATCGCATATCCAAAGAACCAGTTCAAATTTCGCTGAAAATAGTTTATATATAGCATCGTGCACTCCGTTTGAATGAATCTGAAAACTCATTTTTTCTGCCCAAAACGTCCGACGTAAATTCAATAATTTTTTCAGAGTTTTTTTTTTCTTTCAAAAAATATTTTCCCGCCAAATTTTGACTGATTCTTCGCAGATGTGATTGCGGCCTTCGCATGGGCTGTCTGTCAAAACCTTGCAAATTTATCATGCATGATTTTTTCACAAATTGATTTCTACCATTCCGACTTTATCTGGGTGAATGCATTTCAAATTAGGCTTGATTTCATAACTCGATTTTCTGTAAAAATGCTCAAACTGAAAGCAATCGACCGAAATGTATGATTGCAGCCGAAGTTCATTACGTAATGCTCAAGCCGTCCAATTTACTTGCAATTGCATCCTTTGGAAAATTATCGTCCACTTCCCTAAATTTTAACTTTCTTCACCACTGTTTTCTCCTGACCCTCAAGAAAGGAATGAAATACCGGTATGTTACCTGATCGAAATATTTCAGCAATTCTTGAAATAAAATAACTCTTTATACGGCAACAGATATATTTGCAGAAAATCATATCATGCTGGGTTCTTAGTTACTGGATCTGACAAGAAACTTTCTGCTTATCAGTACAGTAATTTGTTGATTTGTCATCCCCTCACAAGCACATTGTACTTTTTTGTTACTCGAATACATTCAAAAAATAGAGGGTGTACATTACTAGGAAAAGAACATGACAAGTCAACATTTTACTCGTTCGCCGACAGTATTGCGAACTGACCATGCCACACCCTTCCCGGTTCACACAGCATTCGTCAGCAACTATAAGAACAATGGAATTCAGAACTGGGAAAAAAGGACATTAATGTCAAGTGGGTATACGATGAAAAAATAGTAAAAAGAACTTGGGAGTGGTGAACCCCATTCTGCACCCGCATTCCCACGTGTGCAACAGGTTTCTTCAGTTTGTGGGTTTGAAAAAATAAATACTGTACCTCTGCTGCACGGAAACTCGAAATGACTTGAAAAACTGTCACGCATGTAAAATCGGTGTCGTGGGAAAGAATGCATTCCTTACTGAACCACATATACCGCGAATGAAGCTGATATTTTGTTCACTTGCTGGACAGTAGTTTGTCAAACTTTTTATTTATTTATTTACTTCTATTTTTGAGTTATTCGTGGAGGCAGAAATGTGTTGACGATCACGAATGACCACGCCCTGTTTTGAAACAGACCTCGGGGTTGACAATGTCACGTGTTCGTGAAAATGTGGTCACCAGAAAAACCATCCTTACACGTCGAAGAAAGGCCTTATTCTGAATATTGCCAGAAAAAATGCTGAATTTCCATTCGCCTCTTTAAAAAAAATAAAATACATCGGTGAATAAGGAAGCATTCATGCGATTCTTGAGAACGTGAAACACTCAAGCAAATATTAACGTCAAACTTGAAAAGGATTCATACATATCTTGCTTTGTTTATACATGCAGTACCCTCAGTTTATTTAGGTGATTGTATTGATTCACCTTTTCTGAAGTACTTTGCATTCAGAACAAAAGCCACATTTTGGGAAAACGCATGGGATTGTTGGATTTAAATAAAAGTTTTTCAAAATTGTTATTTGCTTGATTTGCTTGATCGAGTCCTCTAAAGCAGTGTTCCCCAACCTTTTTTTCACGTGGACCGGCAAATTGTAAAAAAATCGTTTGCGGACCAGCAAATTGTCATAAAATTTTCTGCAGACCGGCAAAGTTCCATCAACTTTTGCAAGACCAGGAAATCTTTTTTTAATACCTGCCATAAAGTCCTCAAAACAAAACTTGTATTGCAAAAATTAAGTAAAGAACCAACAAGCAGCTATATATTAGAATGTTTCGCAAAAAAAAAAAAAAAGAAAGCTGAGCTTCGAGAAAGGCCTCTCAAATTTAAAACTAAAAACAATATATTTCAGACAAGTGAAGACAAGTCTGAAAACATGTGAAGTGTAATAAGAAGAAAAGCTAACATTTTAATTTCTCTCAGATAATTTCAACCGCCATTTTTTTAACGAAATTTCGGATAATTAAGGATAACAGGCTCATCAATACCTTCTAATAAATTTAACATGCCAAACAAATTTTCCCGCGGACTAGCGGCAAAAAACTTCTGCGGACCGGCGCCGGTCCGCGGACCATGGGTTGGGGAACACTGCCGTAAAGTACAGTACTGTATACCGGGATAGAATAAAAAAGGATCCAAAAATAGCAACTGCAACTATCCCTTGAGAAGCACATGATTTTTTCAAGGATGCCATTCGAGCGATGGTGTGGACCGGATGTTCAGACAAAAACTCGATTGCTTCTCAGAATTTCACCTGAAGTCCTAACGCTTCCAGGATGAGAAGAAATGCTTCAATGTTCCTACAGAAAAAGGTCTCAATTGTGGTTTTCTGTGGGCAGAGTTTTTATCAATCATTGTTTCATTCAAAAAATAAACGAAATTCATTACATTACGTTTCACAGAAATTATCATGATAGTGCCACGAAAGGTCATGAAAGGGACTCGGGAAAAAATAAATATTGAAAATGTAGCTGGGGAAAAGGTTTCCAATGGAAAACGCATATATTTGAGAAAAGTTTTAAATTTAATTTTTCCATAAACAAGTATATGGCTCATCTCGAGGTCATGAAGTCAAAGCGGATACTTATTGTGTAGAACTAAACAATCATACTCATCACGAGCTTTTAATTAGCAATCATGACCTAACCATTATCTTTGTGCATGAAAATATTCATTCCAAGGTTTATGTTTGCCATATGTTGGTCTGGATACTCATGAGGGTCTTGAAGTCTTTGAAAAAAATAATTCCTCTCAAAAATTTGCAGCATAATTTAAATTCTCATTCGATTGCATTTTGAATTTCAGAGGTTTCTTTTGTATTTTTGGCAGACATGTTTTTTGGCATGTGAAATAATGAAATGCCTCATGAATGCTGTTCAAAAGAAGCAATTGAGAAAAAGCAGCTGGAATTAGCAGTTAAAAGGCATATATCTGGCGTACAGTCAAATGAAAATTTTGCTGTAAGTAAAATTAGGTCATTCAGTACAATTAGAATAACATACAGTATATATTTTGATCAAAGCATGATGGAGAAAATGCCAGGATGCAAAGTCGCCTCAATTAATTTTGCATGCGTCCCTGCATATGTAGTGATTTGCTTATTTTAAGAAAGCTAAGACTACACTTGACTCACAGAAACGATCATAGCAGCATTTTCTTTTACCTCCCAGTCTTGCTTAAAAAATTATTCAAACCTTCTTTTATGACATTCGAAGTAATTTTCGTCGCTTGTTATCCTTTGAGTTTTTCCTGCACGAAATACTGTACTGTACTGTATTTCTACGACCTCCCCTTTCGTTAAATTTAATCGCAGCGTTTTTCTCGGTGATCTGGTGTACTGATTCATTTATTCTCAATTTCATTTTGTGAAACCATCGTTGTGTGCATGCCAGAGCGCTTTTCGTGTGATAGACCTCAATAAAAAATAGTTACATGGAATTTCTAAACTTCAAATGACCGATATAATGAAGGAAAGAGGCAAGAAAAGAAGGAGAAAAATAATTAATGAGCAGTTTTTTCACAAATTGCCGGGGAGTCAAACCAAGGAAACTGAAGTAATGTATTCTTGCTGAAAAATGAGTACGGGTCAACTTCACCACCGTTCATGTCTTTCCAGAGTAAAATAATTTTGCGGTCCACAATTTCCAAGACATCTTTTCAAAATCAGAACTTGACTTTCCATATAAAATTGAGTATTTTCTCAGGGTAGCTTGAAATTGAAAAAAGAATGAAACAACGGTTTTCAGGAGGTTCATGGTCTCATGTATTTCGATCTCGCTGCACGAAAGAATGTTGATGGTGTACAGCGCGATATTCTTCATCCTCTCGGAAAAAAAAAAGTTCCCCCTCTCCCACGATTTTCATTACAAACATCATACATCGAAATTTGGCTCAATATACCAAAACAACAACACACCCTTTTTCTCATTCGATCAGGACAAAAAAAACTTTGAAACAACGTTAATTTTGTTCATTTCTCAAGGTTTCCTCGAAAAAAAAGTATCTCTCTCATGTTCTCACAGCTTGTGTCGAAAAAAAAATCTCATCCATTTTTCTTTGTTTTGTTTTTTTCCTGCCTGGTATCGCAAAAAAGAGTCGGAAAAGCCGGTCACCGGAGATCTTGAAAAAAAAAACGGATTTGCAGAGGTCATCCTGATGAATGAGGCCTTCATCGCATCACAAGGCCAAGGTCTCTCAACCTTGAACGCCTCATTTCTGCATGCCGAAATCATCTTCAGGGTCCGGAGAAGGAATGTATGTATATGCCTGAATGCCGGATTAGGAATAATGACGAAAAAATAAAACTGCTCGGCTTTGAAGAAGATGAAGAAGAACCCATGTCTGCTTTTTGTTGTTGTAGCCTTATGCTTGTTCTCTTCTTCGGTCTCTTATTCTTCCGCCAAGTGAAATAGGCAAAAAGACGTTTCAACTACAGGCGTGATGACGGGATTTGAATGCGGTTTCAACGCCTTCGTTGCGACTTGGCCGGAGTCTCGGCATTGGCGTCGGACTCGAACCAGTTCTCACTGTGTTTGTAAGAAAAGAAAAAGGTTTTGAATCAGATTTCGAGGTCAGAGGAATTCGCAGAAATCCGTCTGGGTCTCTTTTTCGGGCGAAACTCACCATCCAGGCACGTTGGCGGGATCGTCGCACTTCATGGAGTAGTCGTTGAACACGGTGAGGTCCGGGCAGGAGTTCTCACGCGGGTCTTTGCCGTTGAGGCACACGTAGAACCGCTGGCAGTCCAGAGGGTGGGCGTACAGAGGGTGGATGATCTGGACGCCGTTCAGCTCCAGGGTGTTGTTTGTTGGGCAGGCAAAGCCATCAGGCAACACGTCTGCAAAAAAAAAAAAAGAAGGCCAATGAAGATACGGTACAGTTGAACCTCCTCAAGTCAAATTATTTCAAATCCCTGCATGAATTTTCCTTAGAAACCATGCATTAACTCTTGTGCGGCAAAGTTGGGATATTTTCAGAAAATTGTGTGCCACTGAGCATTGGAAATATTAAAAAAAAAGTCCTACTTTTGTGCCCAGGCCTGAGTTTGGAAAAATTCCACTATTTTTTTCTAATCCTGCAACAAATTTTTAATGCAAAATAAATTTTTTTAAATCCCTCACTGTTCGTCAGTTTTTCCAGCATTATCAGCATAGGATTTGCATGGGAAAATCCTAGAAACAATAAAAAAAATTTGCCTCCCAGATTGTTCCTGAGATCCTGACTTAGGCCTTCAGATTCAAATACTCATTCAAATGTTTCAAGACTATGATGCGTTTTGAACAAATGAGCTGTCAATACAGCTTGAAATATGCTACATGGTGAAGATAATTATTTGGACATTCAACTTCCCGATTGACAAGAGAGAAGAACAGTTTACAAAAGGGTGCCAAATGCTTCTCATATTGCTCACGACTCGTACCTTTGATTCCATTTTTGAAGAAAAAGAAACCTCATGTTGACAAATAATCATGAAAATTGTTGGTAGAAATAAGCCGAAGTTATGAAAGGCGATTTCCCATCATTACGACTAACGCGAATCTTTGACGGACAAAGAACACATTAAATCCCCTGAAGTTCAATAAAATTAAACCACGACTCAAACGTTCTACTTCAAAGAGCCAAAAAAACAAGTGCTTCTCTACCTTCACGTCTAGCCTTATAATTTAACTAAAGAAATAGTTAGAATTTGGAAATACGAACCATGACTCTTGCAGACATATCCTGGGGAATTCCGGATCATCGTTTTTTAAAATCAAGTTCATCCTTCTCAAACTGTTTTTAAAGACAGAAAACTCTCTCAGAGCAAAAAATGAACCCCAAATAAAGCTCAACAAGACAATAGAAATACAACAAAAGGAAAATTTTTAATTAATGAACTTTAATATTCGAACGACGCTGCGAAGTAAAAAAAAATTCGAATGACACTCATCTCTCATGAAAAATTTGCATTCAAATTTTTGAATATTAATGAATATTCTTCTCTGCGCATTGCTGCTCATCTCAACTCCTAGCGAACATTCTGATGACTTTCTTCCTCCCCTTTCGAACATCTTTAAACAGATTTTGACCAAGTACGTAACATTTCAACAGTTTTTAGCTACTCGACTATTGGGATAAAAATGAAGAGAAGAAAAGAAAAAAAAGCCCCAACACGCACGAGAAGAGCTCGCAGCGAGTCGCTATCCAGGACGGATTCGGCGCGGAAGGAAAATAATCTCGAGCCAGTGCTCGAGATTGTGTAACAAGAACGAACGAGAGCCTGAAATCAATTCCCCTCAAGGGGCCAAAGACATTAAAGATTTTGCAAGACCGGAAACGCGGTGCGGGGCGTGTAGCACCAGCTGAATCATGAAAGAAAAATGGGAAAAGGTGCTCGAGCTCCGTAATCCGGAAGAGAACGAGTCGACATCCGAAGATATTAAAATAATAATGTCGGGAAATTCATCCCGACCATGATGATGCTTCATCACCTGCGAGCATCTCAGACTAACCTTTTCCGCATTGAGGGGCTATACAAATATTTTACAGTACTCATTAACTTGAGGGGTTGGTTCATAAGTTTTGAGAATAATTGAAATGGATCATCCTACGGAGTTTCAACAAATCGACAATTTTGTTTTGTTTTCACTCACATAGCCCCATAATTTAGTAAAACTTCTGTGTTGGTCAACATTCTGTACTCTCCAACGGTTGACTTTAAAATGATTTTTTTTTTCATTTGATCAAAACAGTGCAATTAATTGAGTTCTGCTGGTTGATGAGACACCCTGTGACTTCTATCTATTCTTGACCTTGAAGAATGACCTAAAAGAGATTGATTTTGAGGACAGAGACAGCCTCATTTCTGCTGTCGAAGAGTAGCTTGATCAACTAACAGAACTCGATTTTTTGTAATGGATTTATTGCATGAAAATAACCTATTGAAATTGGTGGAGGGTATTTTTTCAAGCATGTACAGTGAAACCCCAACATGTGTACACCTTGACATGAGGACAATTCAACATAGGGACATTTATTTTTCAATAAAAACGGCATTAAAAAGGCCCAACATTTGGACACTGACTCAACACGAGGACATTGCATGAGAAAATTGTCAATAAATTTGCAGAAAACGTACTTTCATTTGGCTTGATTGCAACAAACAGATATTTCCAACCCTAAAATTTATGCAAGAAAATTCTTTGTCATTTCTCCCATCATTTTCCCATCTATTCAGCTAATAAAAAAATATTACCTATTCCGTAGAGGGACTTCCTTAGATCTTTGTAACTTGAATGTTCAGTACAATCCTCCAAATGTTTTTATTGAGTTGAAGATATATTAACTGAATCAAATTTGAGTGGCAAACCATTTTTTTCATGTAATTCTGAAGAATATTTCTTCCATAAAACACCAATTTAAAATTATATAATTTAAGGCATTCGGAAAACAAGACTTGATTTAGGGACAATCCAACTTAGGGACACTCTTGATGCACCAATTATGTCTGCATCTGGGGGCCTCACTGTACTTGACCGGAAGAGAACGAGTCGACATCCGAAGATATTAAAATAATAATGTCGGGAAATTCATCCCGACCATGATGATGCTTCATCACCTGCGAGCATCTCAGACTAACCTTTTCCGCATTGAGGGGCTATAAAAATATTTTACAGTACTCATTAACTTGAGGGGTTGGTTCATAAGTTTTGAGAATAATTGAAATGGATCATCCTACGGAGTTTCAACAAATCGAAAATTTTGTTTTGTTTTCACTCACATAGCCCCATAATTTAGTAAAACTTCTGTGTTGTTCAACATTCTGTACTCTCCAACGGTTTACTTTAAAATGATTTTTTTTTTCATTTGATCAAAACAGTGCAATTAATTGAGTTCTGCTGGTTGATGAGACACCCTGTGACTTCTGGCTATTCTTGACATTGAAGAATGACCTAAAAGAGATTGATTTTGAGGACAGAGACAGCCTCATTTCTGCTGTTGAAGAGTAGCTTGATCAACTAACAGAACTCGATTTTTTGTAATGGATTTATTGCATGAAAATAACGTATTGAAATTGGTGGAGGGTATTTTTTCAAGCATGTACAGTGAAACCCCAACATGTGTACACCTTGACATGAGGACAATTCAACATAGGGACATTTATTTTTCAATAAAAACGGCATTAAAAAGGCCCAACATTTGGACACTGACTCAACACGAGGACATTGCATGAGAAAATTGTCAATAAATTTGCAGAAAATGTACTTTCATTTGGCTTGATTGCAACAAACAGATATTTCCAACCCTAAAATTTATGCAAGAAAATTATTTGTCATTTCTCCCATCATTTTCCCATCTATTCAGCTAATACAAAAATATTACCTATTCCATAGAGGGACTTCCTTAGATCTTTGTAACTTGAATGATCATTACAATCCTCCAAATGTTTTTATTGAGTTGAAGATATATTAACTGAATCAAATTTGAGTGGCAAACCATTTTTTTCATGTTATTCTGAAGAATATTTCTTCCAATTTTGTGGTTAAATTTTAATATATTAAATTCCGTAAGCCTTTTGTTCTGAACTAAATCCCTGTTAGGTTGAATCCCTGTGAGAACTACGTGGTTAATACAGACGTAGACCCCCGGAGTGACATGAACAGTGTTGCCAATTGATGAGGATATGCAAGTACACATTTTTGTTGCTTAAATTCTGTTGGATCTATTTGAAAAAAAGTCTCGAAACTTATGAAGCAACCCTTGTATATATATATCGCCAAAAAGCATTTGATGTGGATCAAGTTGGCATGCACCTGAAATACCCACCTTGTGTCTCTTTGCAGAGCAGTTGCATTGCTGGGATATTAAAGGAGGACAATAACATCGATTCACTGTGCGCCAAGAGAAGAAAGGAAAACCAGACGTTGTAAAATCCAGAGATAACCATTTCCTGTTCAACATAAAAACTTACGGACCAACCTTCGTTTTTATACATATTGATCAAGAAGAAAAAGAAGAGAAAAATATGCTAGATCTAGTTACATTATAGTATAGAGACGCAGAGTCATGCTATAGCGCAATGTCCGCCATGGCTTGTTTATCTCTCTAGCTCGTCTGCTAATGCGTTCCGCTCGTATTTTGCCTCGCCTTGTCGGTCATCAACGTTCCGGAGTAAGTCATTGCGTGGCAGTTTTTCTTCTTTTCTTTTATGTTTCCTTCCAGTCAGTAGGGAACTAAAGCGTGGGTTTTCTTTCTTTCCGGTTTCTTCTCGCTGATTCTCCAGCGACGCGGAGAAAGTGGAGTAGTAGGTGAGGACTTTTCCTCGGCTTTGCCCTGATGATGTGGACGCCATCGCCATGAGGAACTTTGTACTCTTATTATTTTTTGCTCATCATTTGTTTCAAATATTTCACGCAGCATTGCTTCATTTTGATCTAGAAGTTTGGAACAGTTCCGGATTCTTTCTTNAGTCATTGCGTGGCAGTTTTTCTTCTTTTCTTTTATGTTTCCTTCCAGTCAGTAGGGAACTAAAGCGTGGGTTTTCTTTCTTTCCGGTTTCTTCTCGCTGATTCTCCAGCGACGCGGAGAAAGTGGAGTAGTAGGTGAGGACTTTTCCTCGGCTTTGCCCTGATGATGTGGACGCCATCGCCATGAGGAACTTTGTACTCTTATTATTTTTTGCTCATCATTTGTTTCAAATATTTCACGCAGCATTGCTTCATTTTGATCTAGAAGTTTGGAACAGTTCCGGATTCTTTCTTGTTGCAAAACAATACCATTCAGGAGGAAGGAAAAATATAAAACCAATAGATGATATACAGTGAGACCCCCACATTTAGACACCTTGACATGTGGACAATTTGACCTACAGACAATTATTTTCCCATAAAAAAGGCCCATCATGTGGACACTGACTTGACAGGCAGACATTATGTGCTAAAATTACCAATAAGTTTCAGTCCAAATTACAAGAAGCACATATTTCCAACCCTAAGATATATGTGAGAAAAGTTCTTTGGCATTTCTCTAATCATTTTACTATCTATTCAGCTAATTTAAAAAATTACCTCCAGCATAGAAGGACTTCCATATCTATTTTTGACTTGAATTTTATTTTTATAGATAATGCCAACATTTCAATGTTTTGTACCAAGATACAGGAATCACTGCTCCAAATTTCCTTATTGAGGTGAAAAATATTGATTGAATATGTTTCAATTGGCAGACGGGTTTTCTTCTATTTTTCATGGAATTCTGATGAATATCTCTTTGATAAAACACTAATTAAAAAGCATATACTGTGAATATAAGGGAAAAAAGACCCAACTTAGGGACATTTCAACTTTGAGACACTCTTGATGCACCAATTACATCAGCATGTTGGGGTCTGACTTACAGTCAACCCTCTTCAAGTTGAACTTGAGGGCCTAGCAAAAATATTCAAATTAGGGAGGTTTTGATTTTGAGGAACAAGCATTTTTGTTGTGGGAACGAAAAGACTAAGGGATTTGGATTTGGAAAGACTAAGGGATAAAGGGATTTGGAATTTGTGATATTCTGGGCTTTAAATTGCTTCCTGAATGAGTTGACAGGATGCTGAAATTGGAGGTATGGGTTCCTATGAATGATCAGCATTTTACTTAATTTTAGAACTCATCATTAGTTACATTTTTATTGCTTTTACTATTCTGGTGTCAAGAAAATAAGCTTAGTAACCAAACGGCCTCCAGAAAATTCGGAGAAATTTCTAGAAGAATCCAGACAGGGACTTCAAAAATTTATACAAAGGGAGGTATTGACATTAGTAGGCTCCAGTTCTTAGGTTCAACTGTGGTTTCAGTCTATATCCGACTTCGACCAAGAAAAGTTTGTCTGGCTTTGAATACGGTATCTTTCCTTTCCTCCAGGGTCAAAGACTTTGAAAACCATTTGTTTTCTTCAATTTCATAAGCTTTGTTATCTCAACTGGTCAACTTGAGACGAGGGCTTGAGTTGTAGTTAAATTCCCAGACAAACAATTTATGCATTAAATTACCTAGTGCTCACCGCAGCAGGTGTTTAAAGCTGATTATGAGGATGCACGAAATCAGGTTTGCCACTCAATACTTGGCTTCAAATACTGTATCTGACTTTTATTAAGGTAAAATTTTGCGTGCCAACTGAAAAAATGATCACCTGTGGTTGTACAAGTACAGTACCACTGGTTCTTTTCAATCTTGGTTCCTAAGGGAAGAATTTTTTCAATGTAAATTTTCCCTCTGAAACCCTGGGTTACTTTTTCTGCTGCCCCTCTTTCTGCTTTCCTGCTTTTGTATTCTAGAAAAAGGTATTTGAAAAACCGTCGTCGATCGAATGACAACCCTCTCGTGAAAGATAAATGATGATTGTGTCCTCTTCACTGAGTTTTAGTCTGGAATATATCGTAAGATCTTTCCCTTTCTACTTGAGCTTCGTTCTGAAGCACACAATGCTAAATTGAAAATACCTCAGGCCTTTTTCTCATCTCAGCAAACGACACAAATTGCTCAAAAGACTTTTTTATCCTCAGCAAAGGAAGGGAACAGAAGACAAACAGCTTTTTTTCGGAAAATGAATATTCTTCACAAATTATTTTCCCTGAGGAAAGGAAGTTGTTATTTTCAATAGGAATTATTTGCCATGCGGGCACAAAGACTTTTGTTATTGTCGTGCTGATGTACGTCTTTATTTTAAATAACACGGTCGCAGTGTCTCACCGATTATTTTTTTACAAGTAAAAAAAAAAGTCAGGTGAGCGTGATGGAATTTGTTGCTCAAGCATGGGTTGTTATCATGGAAATTATCAAAAAATGATCCTTTTTGGCAGAACGTGAGACAAATGCGGTGACCCTGCGGCGGGGTTTTTTCGCTGGCCCAAGGTCGATATGGTTTTCAGAGTGAGCGACCTGGTTCAGGGACAATTCGGCCCCCAAGGAAAAAGAAATTCAAATGATGATGGCGAAATCATCGCAGTCAATCCCCTCGGGCTCAAAGGAATAAAAAAAAGATAAGTTCAGCGGACGACCGAATTGCGTCACATGTTATTGAGAACTTCCCGCGACGTCGGGTTGCGACCAACCTGGTCTTCGCCTTCCTTGTGCATTTGGTCAGAGCACTAGGGATTTTTCTGGTGCTGTTTCGATGCGCGATCTACCGGAAAAATCTTCTGTATTCAACAACAAAAATACGTTTGAGTACCTCGCTACCTACAGTTGCTTTCAAATTAATGAGCACAGCGCCGAAGCGAAAAATTCCAATCGACAAATTGAATCGTAAGTTTTCGTACCATGACATTCATGCCATTTTTGTAACGATAAAAAAGGAGTAAATAAATATCACGCTAATCGTCCAGAAGAATAAGAGTACCTATAGCAGCATAAAATTCCCATATTTACTCAGGTAACGAACGCAGCTACTTTCTTGCAAATTTTTGAGAAAAAGTTGTGGCACATCATGGTCAAATACGAAGAAGAAAATTTTGAGAAAATGTTCTCTATTCACCCGTAAAATATTTTCGCATATATGAATAAATGACACAATATTCCTGACATACCAATGAAGGATAGTTGAAATGTATGCTTTGAAAAAAGAAAAATTCCATGCTATACTTCTAAACTTGTTATAGAGTAACTTGATGAAAATCCACGCGGATTCATTGAAGACCAGTCAATTATTATTATGCGTTAAATTCTCAGATAATTTTATAACAAATTGCTTAGTGGTAATTAGCAGGGTATGCAGCATTTTAAGAGGAAAAATCCGTCACTTGAATGTTCATTATTGGAATATGTGCTTTACTACTTTGGATTCGGGAATCGATGCCAAGTTTCGAATGATCATAAGAAGTGCAGATAGTTTTTCAAATATGCATTATATTTGGCGAATTGGGTTTAGAGAGGAAAAAGGCCAAATTTCTGGTCATGGCTTGCTGCGATCACAGGAGAATTTTAAAACGCAGTGCTATGACTTTTCCAATCACGACAGTATGTATTATTTTCATCTAATTGAAAATTGCTTCAGATGTTTCTTGGCAAAATGTGTTTCTAATTCGTATACAAACCCCTTCTCGATGATTCCTAGCAGTTTCCGTCATACTGTACGTGCATTTGGAAGGCTTGACGCTTTTTTGCAGCATAATAATACTTCTTAAAAGAAGCAAGGGACCCCAGAACGCTCTTTGATCCCATAACAAAACAGCACCAATTTTTCCCTTTTCTCCGTACTGGATAGGGCTTCTCCAAACTCTGGTTTCGACATATTGAGGGACTCGTTCTTGGTGTCTCCGGGGTTGACGCAAGTGTTGTCCTCATATATATAGATAAATAGATATCTTTTTTTCTATCCTTCCGCTTTATTTAGTTTTTGGGGCCGGCCCCGCAGGGCATGACGTCACCCCTGTCTAAGAGGTTGTATTTCGTTATTACATTGCGAGTGCGCCAAAGCGGCAGCCTTGGGTTGCATCACAAGCGGAGTATCTTTCACTTCCGTCGGCAGCCATGTCAGGAGGGGAGCCCGAGAGAAACAAAAGCAAAGAGCGAAA